TTTTTTTTTTTTTTTTTTTTACATTACATTGGTTTTTACATTTATTTTATGTTATTCACTCATGTTCTAATCCCCCATATGAGTATTGTGTCATTAGGAGCTGTTCTGAAGATATTCCGTTAGGTTATATCCAAGTAGTGTCTTCCTATGGGCAACAACTTGAAGGCACAAACTAAACTGTTCATAATTTATTTATGGTACGCCAGCATTCATAACATGTAGGCGAATCACTTTCCCCCAGACATCCGCAGTTATATTTCTTATATTTATATCTTTTAAAAATAAAGTGGCGCGTGTATGATGTCATCTGTGCGCCGGACTGGAGTTGTGACAGGCAGCCCGGGCCACAGACGGCTACGCTCTACCCCTTCTGTTCATTCGGGGATTTAATCTGAATCGTTCAATTCCATTTCTAGAGCGAGATCATCTGTGGTAGTAGCACTAGACATCTTCCAGGCATGTGAGTAAAACTAGCAGCGGTTCAGCTGACAGGAAGAATGAATGGTAGCTGGCCCGCGTGGGTGACGTCATACAAACTCCGCTTTGTTTTTCAAAAATATAAATATAAAAAATATAACAACGGATGTCTGGGGGACAGTGATTCGCCTACATGTCATGAATGCTGGCGTCAAGGATGTAACTTGGTAATGAAAGTTTGTGGGGAAACTATAAGGCAGAGGTCACAGATTAGTAGATCGCGATCCGGATCCAGATCCACCTGCTGGCTAATCCGGACCCAACCTGATTTAAAACATTTATAGATTATCGCATGTTGTCTGAGAACAGTGTCTAAACTTCACTTGCTCTGCTTCTTCTGTTGCCCTGAAATCTCACATCCTCCATCTCCGCTCCAGACCTCCTGCGCAAAGCAAAGCCTACAGCAGGGGTCACCAACCTTTTTAAGGAGCAGAGCCTGAACATTTGGAGGATATTTGGCTCAACCTGCTGCTGTGAATCAGGATTCTCCACCATGAACAGAATCAACAATAAATATGGATCCAGGCTCAAAATGAGCTCCTTGTGCTTTAGAATGGCTTAGTCTCCATTCAAACCAGGTTTAAAGCCTTGCAGGGCAGCAGAAAGCCCACTGCCAACATTAAGATAGAAAAGAAAAGAAAAATAATAAATTGTCAGTTCAGGTGTTTTATTAAATATGTGAGTCAGGAAATTGTCAATATACCAACCTATTGTGGTTCTCTACTTCAAAAAACACTTTAGATTTTAACATAGAAAAACTTTCCTATTTTTTTCTTTTTTTTTATTAAAAAATTAAATGTATAATATGAATGCATAAAAACCTCATTTTATTTCAGTGTTAAATTCTGTTTATAGTAACAGATCATTAAAATGTCTCCAGACCTTTACTGGTTGATGATTTTCTTTATTGGATCCCCACTGGTTTTTAATTGGTTACCTCTGATATAAGGGTTGAAGATGATGAACCTGCAGTTACAGGATTTAAAGGCTTTCGTTAGGTTTTTGTATTTAGCTAAATAAGCCCAAACACAAATTTGAAAGCCGTACATTATTTAGTGCTTTCATATTGCTGAGAATGCAACAGTAACAAAATATTATAATCCACAGATAGACTGGTTCCTTTAAGTGGCTCTTTTGTAATGGCTCAGAAACATCAGCAACATTAATAACACTGAGGGACGGGAGGACATCATTTGTTAGGGGGATGCAAATGATCAAAAACCTTGACCTTCTCCTATTAGGGGTTAAAGGATGGATCTCCAACTATTGCTGCTCTTCATACTCTCACTTATCTTTCTAAACCAACATGGCTTCTCCAGCCTTAGAGCTGTTTGCTGAATGTCTCTCTATGGTATGATAATTACATTTCCTGCAAAAGAGACTCACCTTCCATTGTTTGAAGGTTTCTGTTTGCTAAGGAAGTTCAGACTGAAATGAACAAATACTACCTGCATTTTATTCACAGTCTGACACACTTAGCACAGGACACCATTTATTTCAAAGTCAACAATTAGTGAAAGCTTGGTTTAAATGGTAAACAGATGTTTCTTGGAAAAGGAAAACTTTGTGGAAATTATTGAGGGTAGAATTTAACCCACGCCAGAGGAAAAAAAATGTTTTACCACATTAATGTTATAGTTTAATGGGTAAAAGCCTAAAATGAGCATAGAAAGGATGGAAGTGGGCGGGATGCCGCTTTCAGGCACTGTAGAGCCAGATTTCATTGTGATGAGTTAGAGAGAAGTAACTTTCATAGACTGCCCCAACGGAAATGTCCTCCTTGAACTTTTTCCCTGCTGCAACCAAAGCCTCTTGGAGAATCTTCTTGTTTTCCAGAGCGGTTTCGAGGGACGGGGTTCCATCGTACTTCCTGAGGAGAGAACGGTTAATTTTACATCTGTTTCACATCTTTTCATTTGATTAAATCATTTCGTCGTTTCCTTCTGGATCCACAGAAACCAAAACAATCAATGAGAGACCTCTCCTTACCTGACGTAGACAGTAGCCTCAGCTTTGTGCTCCAGAGTGACCGATGTATCAGTGACCTCAGGCTTAGAGCCAGGAGCAAGAAACCAGGACAGGGATGTAGAAGAGTCCTCACCATCCTCTATGGTTATGAGTGCTGGCCAGCCATCAATGATGTCATGACCTGGAAACCAGAAAAACTGTCAGGTGGTTTGATGTGTAGATGAAGTCGCAGTGGTGGAAATGCCGGTTTGACAACATCTGTTGGCAGCTTTGCGTTTTCTCCCTGTTGCTAATTTTCTCACCAACTAAACTTTTCTCTTCCTGTCCAGAACCATTCAGGGTATGTTAAATGATGGAGTCCTTTTAGATGGGAGTTCATGTGAGCATCGTTTCTGTCCAATCTCTCTCTTAAAAGTCATTTTTCTTAAATATGGTGCATTTGTTCTTGGATTGAGGAGGTAAAAGAGAAATCTTGCCAGTGGAATGAGACAATTTGCACATAAAATAAGAAAACACAATTGCATTGTCTTATTTCAAGTGCATATTATCTAATTATCTTATTTTAAGAGTAAAAATACTAATTCAATTGGCAAACTATATAATTTACCTACTCAAATTAAATCACTCAATTAAAGACAATTTTACTTATTTCTAGATCATTTTTCCAGTGTCTAGAATCTA